AAAATTCTCCTTTAAACATATTATTTTAAAATCCTTTCACTGAAGAAAGCATTACTCAGTACAGGCAGGAACAGGCTAGCATATGGTATTCCAGACCCCCTGTCTCCATGTGAGAGAAAGAGGCGCAAGTCTCCATTCACTAGGCCCCCAGAGATGGGCGGCAAAACCTACTACTTTTTCAGTTCTGAACCCTAACACCATAGCTCCCTACCCAGGAGCTCAAGTCCCCTTGGAAACTGCAGAGTTGCTGCAAGGGTATGCCAAGTGACAAATAGTGTTTCTTAAATGGAATCGACTCCTGACAAACACATCCCCCTAAGTTGGATCTGACAGCCACAGAGAGCTCGTCGAAATCCCGGTTCTGCCCTGTACAGCCAGTGATGTTGGGCAAGGTAGTTAACCCCTCAAGTCCCGGATTCCTTATCTGTAAAATGGAAATCCCTGTATCCCCTTTGTGGTGATGCGGTAAAAAAATGTATGTGGCCATAATTGCAAACATGATGTTTTACTTCTATAGTATTAATAGTATCTTGTCAAAAGTATGCAAATTTTTTATAAACCTTAAAAAAAAGGAGTAGCCGTAACAGAGAAGGCTGACTTTTCTTGTGCACGGGCCAAGTGTGCATGCAAGGCTTTCTTCTCGTCCACCACTGACTTCAATGGCAAGGAGGGGGGTCGCTGACGAAAAAAAGGCAGGACACCACAGATCGACAAAGAGCCCCCAGCAGGACTCCCCATGCCTTATCGCTGATCATGATAATCCCTAACAATAACACAGGGTCCTCAAGGGAAAGGGCAGACGGGCAGGAAGAGCCCTTCTCCGCTGGGAATCTTACTCCTTTTACGTTAATTAGGTTTCTGGTTAATTAGAGGTTGAAAAAAAACACCAGAGAGGGCACTCACACCAGCAACCCATTCTGAGGAACGTGTTTTAACCCTCCAGCGCCCTCTCCTCAGAGAGGAATCGCCTCCAGCTCTGAAATCCTCCACACACAGCGGCCACAGAGCCTGCTGTAAGAGCAGTTGTAAAAATCTGGTCCAGAAAAGCATTTCCCCCCAATTTCACAGCCACTGAAAAGAGGAACTTGGGACTCCTTTGCTTTCTAGGGCAGAATATGTGGTTATTTGCACTTGCTGGTTGGGCATTAGTTCACCTCGTGGCGAGGGATCTAGGTCTTGATTCCTACATACAGGTAATTCCTTTGCATTGTAGCCCCATTGCTTCAACCTAAGTATCTTAGGGGTAAATCCTGCTAAAATGAGCACTCAGAGAAATGCAGAGGAATGACTAAATTTAGAGATCAAATTTTCTCTCCTCCACTGGATCTCAACTCATATCATTCTAATCATTGGGTTATGCAAACATTAAAAATGAAAATCTCCTTTCTTCCCAGGTCTGGTTTCTAATTTCACAAACAGGCTTGGCATGGTGTGCACCCTGATGCCAATTACACCATCTATAAAGTGGTAGAGCAGTGGTTTTCAACCTTTTTCATCTCATGGCACACAAAAACGCAATTTCTAAAATACTGCAGCACACCAAAAATCTATTCTTTTGCCAATCTGACCAAAAAAAAAAAAAAAAAAGGTATTAATTTCGATTCATTCACAAGGACGGCTGCTGTTGTCAGTTTTTTATTTGACAGTCTAAGGGAAAAGAAGTCAGTGCCCCTGACTAAATAGGTATTGCGTGTTTTAAAACTTCTTGCAGCACACTGGTTGAAAAATCCCTGTTCTAAAGCACCAAGAATTCAAGTCTTTGGTGATTTGGCAACCGCCAGGGAGGAAGGGGAAACATCTGAAGTTATTTTTACTTTTGCAAGTCTTCTGGCTGTACAGGGTGAATGCTAGGGTGGGTCAAGTATTGTCTGGAGCCAGTCAGGGTCTTTTTTCTTTCCCCCCTCTCTGCGTGGCCTCATTTCCGTCTTCCTGTTGCTAGGAAGGAGAGTTAAGTATGAGAACCTCGTGTTTACAATACCGGGCCATCCTGTCCAGCACAAGGCCCTCTTCAAAAAAGTGCAATTCACTTCACCCACTGTACTCTGCATGCCCCAGCCTTCTGGACCAAGTCACCCTTCCCTGGGTATTTTCAAATTGCATATTTACTCGCCTAAGTCATAAAAATACCACTCTCATTTGAACATTGCATCATGGCTTAAAATCTCCATGGGGACACCGAGGGAAACCCAAGGACTTATTTTTGTATTTGAAACCATCTCTTGGAATCCTTTTACCGAGCCTCTGACCGGCGGTGTCTCCCTGGGGTCTGCCACATCCCCTAAGAGCCCCTACAAATACCAGTTTGCGTACTACATACTTTTTTCACTCTTTTCACAGTCACAAGTTGCTTAATCATAATATGTACTTCTGTGAATGTGGTATCTTTTCCAGAAGCAACCAAACATCACTTTTTAAGAACCTTACTTGGCCTCTGCTCTTTGAAATGCAGTATAGAAAAATTACAAGAAATAAACAAAGGAAGGCTTTAGGTTCAAGTGCTACCGGCCTCTCATCTTTGCTCCAAATACAGGAAAATCCTTGGACTGGCCCAGCGTATTAAAGCTTGGAACACTGCCTACAATTAGCCATAGATAACTACTCATCTGTTCAACCTTTTTACTCCTTAAGGAGTAAGTGATGTTCCTCCTAAGGTCGACAACTGGGAAGTTAAGACACCTGCAAGTCAGCAAGACCATTTCTCCCATGCATTCTAGGGAAAGATTTAAGTTGGGAACTACTTATTCTGATTCTGCCGAGTTGGGAAACCAAGTCAGTCGGGGTTCTTGAGCTTCTAGTCAATGTGGTATAAGGTGTCACTCAGCTTGAATTAAAATGAAATCTGTTTTTGTCAAAAGCAAACTTTTAAAAGCAGCTGGGAGAGAAAGTCAGTCTGTTGTGCTTCATTTTAAACTCTGAACAGTAGTGCTAATGATAAAAATATGTACCCAGGCTTGGGCCATGCCATAAATCTGGCATGCCACAATAAAAGTTAATATGAGCAATCGCCAGCATTTTCTCAGAAAATGTCTTGAAATAACTCCTGAACGTACATCTGCTAACTATTTGACACTCATTCTCCAGGATTTTAGTTCTTCTATTAGGGGGGCTGTTGACTTACAGGGCCGCCCTCAGACCATCTGCTGCAGTCTGCAAGCCAAGGTGGCACTGGGTGCCTCCACTAATTCCACACTTACGGTCTGCAAATTATCTCTGCGGAGGACCAGATGGATGCTGAATTAGTCAACCTCTTGGAGCTGCTGATAGATTTACATTCGGAGTTCTGCTGGGCTATTATTTTTCCCTCATCCTTTCAGCAGAGTTTGAAAGAAAAAAAAAACAAAACCCGTAATTTGAGACTCAGTATTCTTCTGTCTCCAGAGCTGTGATTTTTTTCCCTATCCCAATGCTTCAGAGATGCTACCCTCATGAATCCTTCTGTAGAGCGTGGCTGTGCCTAGGCTGCATTCCTCCGCCCCGACACAGGCTGAACCAGCCTAGGGATCCCCAGAATGAACCCATTTGCTCACCGCGTTGGGTGCATAAAGGCTCACGACTAGCATGGACGGGCAAGGTTTTCTTCTCCACTGAGCAGAATGACCACGTGCAGGGGCTGCCTTCTACAGTAACCAGCCTAAATTGGGTATGTGTGGGACACCGGGACCGGACACTGTGCTAAGCACTCCTATTAGCTCGTTTGAGCCTCACAACCTCCCCCGGTGGTGAATACAGCTATTACCCCCCTGTTGCTGATGAAGGAGGTACAGAGAGGCCCTGCCACTTCCCAGACTCACTCAGGTACCAGGCTGCAGACCCAAGATTCCCGTGCCGCCCGCCAGCCTCGCCAGGGGTCCTCTCTAACTCCCCTTGTAAGAGGGAATGTGGCGTGCAAAGACGCACGGTAAATTACACGTGGTAGGACCCGATCGCTGTGGCCAAGGGTGCAAGTCCTTCGGTAGGATCAAAGGCTCAGCCCGTGGCGTTGGAGGTGGGGACAAGGTCATAGACCGTGGCAGGGGTCCAAAAGGCTGTCGCCTCGCTCCGAAAAAAGTCGGGCTGGGAGGCGTCCTTCCTTCCTATCGCTGGCCCTAGGATTTGCTCTGCGCGGGCGCCCCCTCGGGAGCCAAGGGCTTGGGCATCTGGATGGGACATTTTAGGAAACCGATTCAACGACCCACCACGTGAAGGTACACTGCAGTCTTTCTAGCAAGCCCCGCTCACATGCAAACAAACCAAGGGCTTGCCAAAGAGCTTCAACACTTTCCAAGGGCAGTAGCCACCAAACGGAGACTTTTCTGAGTTACAGTCCAGCACTGAAATAGTTTAACAAAACAGTTTGAAATGTAAAGTTTTTGATTAACTTGCTTTCAGTTTTTTTCTTAAAAATATTTCCAAATACCACCACGATCAAACGTTCCTAAATAAACTCACAAGAGGTCAACGCTGATATTGGACTTGCATGGTGAAGGACAGCAAGCACCGAGCCATGAAAGGTCCCCGAGAGGCAGATACTAGAAAGGCGGTTACGCTACGGCCCTCGCGGCCAGAAGCCATCGTCGCCTGGGATTTCCAGCGGGGATGGAAGCCACCTGGCTCTGCACCCCTCGCTCGGCCATGCACCCCCAGCCCGGCCCTACGTCCCAAGCCACAGCAGGAAAATAATGTGGGCTTCATTTCATTAGTCGCGATCGCCTGCCAGCCCGCAGCGCTTTCCGAAGCCCACTGGACGCAACAGCCCTTCAGTCCCGAGCGATGCGCAGCCAGGGGTCATTACCCGAGATTAAGACCTCCCCCCACCCAACTCCCTTCTTTCCCCGACACTCCACCTCCTCCATTCCAAGAAACTCGGGCGACTCGGTCCCAAGCCTCCTCAGAAGGCGTATCAAAAGCACAGAACGCCAGGCACCGGCTTGACAAGGTGGGGTGACATTTCCTCCGCGACGGGTCCCTTCCGCAGCTGGTTCCCGCAGCTGGCCTAACAGCAAGGCACAAGTCTAGCTTACGTGTTAGGATCATGGTGTCCGGCTTCTTTCTGCACATCAAGTGCGGCAGGGGGCGGCAGGCACACAGCGGGGAAATCGAGGCAGGCGGAGGCACCTGGGCTCTCGCGGCGGGACCCAAGACGCACGCCCCAGAGATCCTCAGCGCATCCTTGCTCGCCTCTCAGTGCCACTCGCCACAGCCCCAGAAAGAACGTGGGGTTTTTCAGAGATCGAAAAGGGGGAGCGCTCAGGGAGCGGGGCGAGAAGCCCAGGATCAGTTGCTCCTGCGGTGAAGATAGGCCATAGCCGAGACCGGAGCGAAGCGCCCTCGCCCAGGCAGTTAGAGCGCACTGCCTCTGGCGCGCCCTCCCCACCGCGCCCTCCCGCAGGGCCCACCCCGAGGGGAGGGACTGGGCGGGGCAGCGCGGCCCCCTCTCCACCTCCTGGGTACCCGGCCGCGGCCTCCGGCCGCCCTCAAGCTCCACCCCACTCTCCCGGCCTCTCCCACTTGCCCCGTCCTCGCCTCCTCCCCGCGGCTGGACTCGCCAGCCTCAGCCTCAGGCGGTCCTCTGGCCCCGCCCGTCCTAGGCCCGCCCCGCGCCCCCGCTGGAGCGGGAATGTGCCCCCTCCGGCTGTGTGCACTTCTGCGGCGGGGAACGCGGAGAGGTCTCGAACTAGCAGGGTCTGGGGCAAGGCAAAGGCTGTACGCGAGGCGTCTAGTTGTGCGGGTGGTCTCAGGGGGCAGCACGCGCTTTTCCTATGTGTGTGTTTTTTATAGCTTTGCACACTCTGTTTAAATCTCTGTAAGTCTCCCTTTCATTCTGGTAGGAACCGCATTTATTCGCGCGAACAGAGGGGAAGCGGGGAAGTAGGGATAAACCATCCTTTTCTGATATGTAAAATGGGGAAAGTACCTGCCCTTTGGACATTCATTATTCATTGCTAAAGCCCGTAGGTGTAATGTAAGTAATTACCATTGCTGTAGAAAAGGATGAGCTTACTTTTTGTTTTTTTCTTCTTTAAATGATCCTAGAGTAGGGAAGGGAGGAAGAAAAAGGGAAACGTCGACGTGAGAGAGAATCTTTTTCCTCTTGTACGCACCCTGACTGGAGTCGAGCCACATCGGCTAGGACAGAAAGGATGAGTTTTTACTCCACGCATGTTGAGTCTGCTGTGTGCAGTGATAGCCGGTGTTTCCCAAATCCTGGCCCATGGGCTACAACCTAATGCAGCTCCTGGAACTGGCAGGACCTTACCCTGATCGCAGAGGTAGAATCTTTGATGGTGATAACCTCGTTTTTTACAAGTGTTCAAGTGATTCTGATGCACTATAATTTGAGGGCCCCTGATAATACTAGGAAGCCTAATTTGTTTAAAGCTCGTCATTGAATACAATCTCTGAAAGATCTGAAAAAAATCCAAATCAGAGTTCTATGAAAACTTACATTGGGGGTAATTGATAATTTTTACCTATTACCTCTGGGTAAAGAAAACTACTAGCAACCTAAACCCATTAATTGAACAAATGTAGCAAGAGCATTTACTATGTGCCCAATACTGTTCCAGGCTGTGGAGATAAAGCAGTGAGAAAAAAGAAAAGAAAAAGAGAAACATCCCATCCCTCCTGGAGTTTACTTCCAGGTGGGAAAGATGCACAATAAACAAGTAAATGAAATACACAGTCCAGCAGAAGTAGCGCCTGCTTGTGTGGTTGGTAGGGTAATGATACGGGTATAAAAATTTATAGCTTTAATCTGAACATTTCACCTAAAATTGTTATATTGTGATATTGTTAGGTTACAGAATTACATGATTATGATTTTGTAATAAAAAGGGGCATTATTTGTGCCGGGCCCCGTCTCTGCATTATCTTAGATGGCATTCTCTACAGCAGGGCAGAGGACAGAGGAGCTGAGGGCAGAGTCTGTTTTTAAATAGGGTTAAATGCAAATGGGGGGGCTTTAGTCTCTCAGTTTAAAATGTATTGATTTCATAGTCATGTCTCAATTTAGATACACAAAATTTGTTTTTATCCATTTCTCAAAGACAAAATAAAAATGCTCCTTCCACCACTGGCTCCCTAACTTGCCCAAGCCAGAACGCGGCTCTGAAGAGTGGCATTTCAGGAAGGCATGGGGGCTTCTCTGCTCAACAAATATTTCCAGGGCTTTCACCTACCTACTGTTCCCTAGGACAAGGGTCTCAGGTCTGGGCTGTTCTTGCTAAATGGTATTCTTGATAAAAGTTAAAATGTAGCGCAGTTTTTTGCAGACACAGCAGTAAACAGGATGACCTTGGCAGGAACCCACCCAGATAAGTGTAGCCAAGTGGAAAGAGGTTAACATGTAATTAACCAAATAGTGTATATAAGCAATAGCTAAGCTTCCCTTTCTGGAGACAGAGCTTTGGATTTGAATCCTGCCTCTTTTACTTGCTTCGGGTAAGTGAAACTACCTAACACGTCTTGTTCTTAAATAGAACATCCCAAGTGGTGATCCCCTATGTTCAATCACAGAACAGAGGGAGACACAAACGTAAAGCAAGGGCAGGCCCACCTCTTCCTACTCAGAGTTTAACGGTCTGGTGGGAGGGCACTAAGGGGCACATGACAGAGAGGTGCTCTGAGAGCCAGGAAGTGGGGACTTGATCTGGCCCAAGAAAAGAGGAGGGAGGTGCCCACTGAAGTTTGGATGCTGGAGGAGCTATCAAAGTGCCCACAATTGCTGGCAGTGGGGAGTGTGGGTCCAGGAGATGCTAGAAAAGTAAGGGCAAGAACTTTAAATTCCCTGCCTGACTGTATTAATTATTTCTAAAAAAAAGTCCTTAATAGCGATGAACACTGAGAAAACACTTTAATAGTAGAAGGCAACCCATGATCAAATTTGCATTTTTTGGGGGGGGGGTCCAGGAGAGAGAGTGAATTCCCCCACTACCACAAATTATGAAGTCGAGTTTCCCACATTTGGGGAAACCGCAGGAGTCAGCCCATCTGGAGGTCAATGGATAAGCCTCACCCTGGGAAAACCGCCTTCCTGATCGCGGTAGCTCCCCTGCTACGTACCTATCTAAATTTGCGTTTTGAAAAGATCATTCAGGCTGCAGTGTGTATATCAGACTTGGAAATAAGGAATACACTTCCTAAACATACACATTGCCCTTATTTATTAAACATCCAAACCTCAAAAATATAGATATTCTAAGTATCCCCTCAGAGGCATATCAATTCTGAGAATAAGTTTTTGTTTTTTGTTTTTTTAAAGATTTTATTTATTTATTTTTAGAGAGGGGAAGAGGGAGAGCGACACATCAGTGTGTGGTTGCATTTCGTGCGCCCCCTGCTGGGGACCTGGCCTGCAACCCAGGCTTATTCCCTACACTGGGAATCAACCAGTGGCCCTTTGCTTCACAGGCCTGTGCTCAGTCCGCTGAGCCACACACCAGTTAGGGCTGAGAATAAATTCTTAATGTTTATTATTAGCTAGGAGAAGTTGTATTTTAGTTTAATTAGGTGTCTCTGACCCTGTGCAATCCCAGCATACCCACCCCCAACTAAGTATTCATCTTTCCAGAATAAAGCATACTAATATTTTTATCTCTTCTTGCTCAAGCGTCATTCCTTTTTCCTTGATTATTGATGTTGTCTTCTCTGGATCTCCTCTAATTCATTACATCATTCTGGAGTTTTTAAAAAATTTTATTTATTGATTTCAGAGAGAGAAGAAGAAGGAGAGAGAGACGGGGGCAGGGAATATCAATTTGTTGTTTTACTTACTTATGCAGTCATTGGTTGGTTCTTTTATTTATTTACTTATTTACTTTTTTAGAGAGAGGGGAAGGGAGGGAGAAAAGGAGGGAAAGAAACAGCAATGTGTAAGAGATACATGGTTGCCTCTCATACATACCCCCAACTGGGGACCTGACCTGCAACCCAGGCATGTGCTTGGACTGGGAATCGAAACTTCGACCTCTCAGTTCCCAGGCCAGTGCTCTATCCACTAAGCCACACAAGTCAGGGCTCATTGGCTGATTCTTGTATGTACCCTGACCAGGGATTGAACCCACAATCTTGGCATATGGGAACGACAGTCTAACCAACTGAAATATCCAGCCAGAGCATCAGTTATTTGTTCTTTATGACAGATTAGAAAAAAGAAAAGAAAATGGTTTGACATGAGGTCCTATGCTTGTTTTCATGCTCTTCTCTGCCTGGGCCTGAGCTCCATGGGAGCTGTTTATAGGAATGGGCATTCCTTCTCTACCTGGATGTTTTCACACTCAAATGTCATATTACCAAGGTAAGAACAATTACATAGGTAACTCCTGATCTGCATGACAGAAGGCTGAGGGACTAAGGACACCTTCTTGCATTTTTTCCACTACACTGTGTTAAAAAAAAAAAAAAAAAAGACAAAAAAGTGTCAATGGGCACTTAGGCAGGTAATACTGGTTAGGAAAGCAGGCCAAGGCAGGCAGGCGCGAACTGAGGCTGCCAGGACACCCCACGCGGACAGCACCACGGAGGACCCCCGCCCCGCTGACTGTTGGCAAATGTTAACACACCAACCACCCTCACTGCTCAGGGTTTAAAGATTTTTCAAGAGCCCCCAGCTTTCTATATTTTTATATTATTAAATCTACCAATTTTTAGATGCTGGCAACCAATTTAACACAATCTAAACCCATTCCAAGTAATTGCAACTTTGGGCTTCACTTAGCCCTGGGACAACTGATGTAAACCTCTGCTCTAGTGATAGGAGCCAAGCAATCTCTTTGGAAATTTATTTCTCTCCCTCAGGAACTAAAAGATTCCTACATTGGGAAAGTGTCATAATTTGTATTCAAAGCAACACTGTGAAATTAGTGTATAAAATAAAATTGTTTATTGTTCAATTGCATAAAATAATTTTATTTGTAATATTCAAAGGAGATATGGCCAATAGAAAGTTTTGAAAATAATTTTTAAACAGTATTAATTTAGGAGAAATACTTAAATTCACCATTTAATGGTTGTCCTTAAAACATTCATTGATGCTTAAGCTTCAGTGACCCAAGTCTGGGTTCTTCATGCTCTAAATATCCAGGTATCTGTCCTTTTCAGAAACATTTAAAACCCAAATGCTTGGGGTGTAGGAGGGGAAAGGAGGAGAACAAGGACTTCACTTAGGCAGTGAAATCATTTCACCCCTTTTAAATTTTACCAAAAGTAGCTCTCTTTTTGGACAACATTTTTTGAAAAATTTAAGTTTAGAATATGGGGAGAGTTTACTTGGCTTACCAGTGACATTCTTAGTTAAGAGCAGGGAGTCCCTTGTCCTGCATAAATGTGATATAAATCTACTTTTTGGATAATCACTTAAGCCCCAGATATAAGCCAGTCTGGCATAGTGCTTTAATCATTTAAAAATGTTTTTTAACCCTTAGAAAAAGCAGTGTGCTGATGAAAGAAAAATGAACATGAATAAATAAGTCTTGGGGATGTAACACACAGTATGGTGACTATAGTTAATGATAATACTGTATTGGATGTCGGAAAGTTGCTAAGTTGTGTATGATGATGGATGTTAACTAGACTTAATGTGATCATTTTTGAACACATACACATATTGAGTCATTACATTTTACATCAGAACCTGATATGCTGTATGTCAATTATATCTCCATAAAAAAATAACTTCAGTGACTTAAAACAATGAACATGAAGAGAGTGCTTGGAGGAGAAAGCTCTTAGGTGGGAAGTCGGAACAGATCCAGGTCTGTAATAGTTTAGCGGGGACTTGGAACACACTGAGTTCTCGAGTATGGTTTGAGAGATCAATGGGCACACTTTCCTGAGATAACTCAATAGGACTGCAGAATCTGCTTTTGAAGGCTATTTCATGTAACCGTTCGGGTAGTTGATAATTAGCTCAAGGCCTCTCTGCTCCAAATGTCAGAGATGCGAAGCCCCGATGGCTGGCTCCTGGTCAGTGCCCTGGCCGCCCCGCCGCCCCCGCCTGCCTCCTGACCTTCACCAGGGATCGCTTCGACTCTTCCCTGTGGCCCCTGACGACACGAAAATCAAGCCAAGTGACAAATAAAAGTTGGGATTATTTTTTTACACTGTGAAAGAACCTGGGCTACTTTCCCACTGAATTAGCCAATTTTAACGGCATGCTTTGATTCTTTGTTCATTCTGACACTGCCCTTGATTTAAGAGTTATTTTTTGAGCTTGTAGAAAATTATTCATGGATGGCTGAGTATGGACAATATTATTTGATAAGTACTAAAATTAATATTTTGTTTTCAAATTGTTTAAATTTTATAATTCTAAAACATTTCTGGTTAAAAAGTTAAGAAACTACAAAAAAGTATTAAAACAGTTAAACCTCTTCATAATTTCACTACTGGAGACAATTGCAGATTTATTTTCATGTCTATCCTTCCAGTCAGTTATTTAAGTATAGATACTTTATTCTACGAAATTGAGGTCATAATACATACTGTTTTATAATGTTTTACTTCATTTTATATTCCTGAAGAATGTGATTTTTATAGTTGTTTCATGGATATACCTTTTCTTTAGCTTTTTTTTTTTAAATAATAAATTTTATTATGCAAGAATGATAATTTCCCTGGGCATTTTCATTTACTTTGAATTAAGAGGTCAAAGGATACGAGGACATTCGATGTCTATTTCTAAACTCCCATCCAGAGAGTTGCACCTATTTTTCATTTCCACCAGTGTTTGAACGCACCCACTTCTCTCCGTGTGAAGGATCGCCAGCATTATAATTTCCATTTCTGCTGCTAATTTGACAAACAAAAATATCTTATTACTACTTGAGTCTACTGAAATTTTTTTATTGTAGTAAAATATACGTAAAATTTATGATTTTAACCATTTTGAAGGGTACGGTCAGCGGCACTAAGTCCATTCACACTGTTGTGCGGTTGTTGCCACTGTCTCCAGAGCTTTTTCCTCCTCCCCGGCTGCAGCTCTGCCTGTTTAACAACAGTCCCCGTTTCCCTCCCTGGCCAGCCACTTGCGACCACCGTTCACTTCCTGTCTCTAGGAACTGGACTATTCCAAGTACCCTGTATGTGTAGAATCATCCAGTATTTGTCCTTTTTATGTCTGGTCTTTTTGTTATTACGGTTGAATATATTCATTTTTATAAACCAGTTGTATTTTTTTAAAGCTCCTTATTTAATCATCTAGCCCTTTTTTTGATGAAACATTTTTGTCTTTTCTTACTGATTTTTAAATAGTATTTATACATTAGGGATATTAACCACTTGTCATTTATTATAAAAATACCTTTACAAGTTTGTCTTCTGCCTTTTAAGCTTGTTGACTTATGATATCAAAAAAATCAACAAGATCCACACAAAATTCAAAGGTCTTATTTGTTTTTTTTTTTTTTCAATTATTAACTAGGAGTTTACTGAAGTAGTTTTCCCTACATGTTTTGAAGGCAGAAAAGCAAAGACACAAAATCAATTTGCAAAACAAGGTCACTTAACAAGTGGGATTTTTGCTTTATTTTTAATAATAGGTTTTATTATTTACTCGAAGAAATACTTTAGCTGTCTTATTTGATTTTCTCTCTCCCCCAGCACTACAAATAAATGTCTTGCATAGAATGAGGCCTCCATAGAGCCTGTGGCAAAGGCTAGCCGGGTCAGGGTATAAATTGGAGATCTTGGGGCATTGAGTTTTTGAGAAACTTTTAGATTTTCCATAAATACAATGTATGTGTGCATGTGTGCATATATATCTACTAATAAATAAAACCTGGACCACCTAAGAGGTTTTCTGCAACTAAGTACAATGCCAAAATACCCATTTTTAGACTTTTACCTTGTCGCGAAAAGCTATCACTTTCTACCAGCCTGTTTACAAGAGCCATTTATGCGGTTCCTTCTAAACTCTGACATTTAAATTAGTATCTAGCACTCTAAAGTACCTGCTCAAAGAACATTCTCTACTATAGCTTTGAAAATCTGAGTGATATCATTCATAAGACTGTTTTTACTAAGTAGATGTTTGGGTTCATTTCAGTTGTGATTTGTTGCTGTTTCTTC